ATATTCCAAGCAAATATTTGTCCAGAGAAATCGGATCTACCGTGGTCGGTGTTCGGTATCGATGGCGGGAACGAGATACAAATCGACGTACTTACCGTCTGTTTTATCCACGTTAAATCTCGGATCTCGATTATAGTTACGACGTAGGAAACGGAGTTTAACGATGTCATTTCCATCGTGTAACTCATTGTCGGATTAATGCAATTATATGGGGCAAAATGTTATGGAGGAGGAGGGGGGATGAACGCGTCAAACGATTCTTAGGGGCAATAAATGTATCCTTGAATAGTATAGGCAACTTGTTGCACACTCTTTTCTTCTTCTTTCTTATTTCTTTTGATATGGCATGATAAAATGTTGTTGTTAATACATATTTACAATGCACAGTGTTTTAAAATTTTTCGCCATATATTCTTGAATTGAAATCTTGGAACGAGTTTTAAGAAAATTTGAGATAGATCATTTGGCATAATTTCGTATGCTTTTGCTGAAGTTTAAAAAAGCATACGGATTCGATTCTGAATCTCTAAAATGGGTACTATTGTTTTTGGCGGGCAAATCATAGTGTAATTCATATAAAAATATTTTAAAAAATTCATTTAATTAAATTGATATTCTAAGAACAGTATTTTCGTTCTATATTTTTTACGTATTATTATTCAGTTTTAAATTACAAGTTATTTCGTTACATATTTATTCTATTATTTTTTTTATTTATTTTCATGCATAGAATCATGCTATCGTTATAGTTCATTTGTTTCTAATCAAATAATAGAGAGTTTCATATGAATTTGAAAATTTTTCAAACTTGATTTATTCGAATATATGTAATGGAATAATGGAATAATGGAATATTCTGAATTATCGTGTTTCTTGTAAAAGTAAAAATAAACAAAGCATTTGAAAATATATTAAACATAATAATATATATTAAATTATATATTTAAAAAAACGATTATAAAATATAAAAATAACAAAATATTAAATATAATATGATATTAAATATTATATACTTTTTAATTTTCATTTTATTAAAAATTAAAATGCATCGAATTAAATTATTTCAAAAAATTCTGTTCCATTTCTAACTCATTCTATCGTATCCATATATAACAACACATTTCCACTCTAAGGCCAACTGATAACCAAGCTTCCTTTCTGCGAGAGATTTCACGTGAGAGGGTGTGCGTCAGGTTGGTGCGTTTCACCCCATCGATGGGGTCGCATACCATGTATATCAGGCAAATGGTCTGGAGAGTAGTCTTTAGCCCTACGAAACGGTCGTAAGGCTGTCACGTCGAGGATAAGCTTAGATGCACCTCGCAGATAGCTCGATGCCAAGATCGCCCTGCTCCTCGTTGTACAGGATTTCCGGAGTTCGGTAGATCCTCTATACAGATAGGAACTTAATTGGACCGACATAATTTTCTACCCTCAACTGGGGGGACTGGATGATCGAGTTCTCTTGAATGTTTCTTGCGTGTCAGTGGAGGATTATGAAACACTTTGCTGAACTTCTTGGTCTTATCTCGGTGATACGTGAAGGGAATTCTCTTATATATATTGTTAAATATATAATATATATTTAATTGGATGAAAATTTTATTATTATACAACAATCATGAAAGATTTTATGTTAGAAATTCTTTTTTATTTTTTATTTTGTTTATTACATTGATTTGATAAAGGGCTGAAGTGAAATACAATTTGTTTTATTCCTTAAGATTAATCTCAAGGAAATTTATTGGATCTTTAATAAATATTGCTTATGAAAATTTTTAAGTGTAAAAAAAAATTTTTCATTATTATAATTCTTATTTTAAATTCGAAACGAATTTTGGTTATTTAAAATTGATAATATTTATTGAATACATTTACATTTATTAAATTTAAAAATACAACAGTTTATGATATTAAATGTATCATAAATTTAAATATTGATGCATATAATTTAATTATTGTTAAAGAGGAATACACAATCTAAAAATTCAAATTCATAGGAAATAACTATTTATTAGAAAAACAATATTTATATACCAAATGATCAATTCGCAATAAATTGAACCTTTCCTTTAAGATATTTTTTAAAAATATGCTTAATTATGTAAAATAATATCCTGTATCGAATCAAAATTTCGAAATTCAAATTTCAACAACAAAGACTCGGACTCCTTTGACACAATTATTCCTCTATTTTTTTCAGGAACGGGCACATGCTAACGCATCGGAACAAGAAGCCGTACGAGTGCAAAGCGGAGGGATGTGGCAAATCGTATTGCGACGCGAGGAGTCTGAGGAGGCACACGGAGAATCATCATGCCGGTAGCAAGGTGAACGAAAGCGTTAGTCCTAGCAGTCCAACCACCGGTCCTCACACACCAAATACACCGGGAAGTAATCCCAGCACGCCAAGCACACCAGGAGCGACGTCGACACCCAACGGCCATGGACATCCGGCCTTAAAACAATTGCTCGCCACGGAACCGTCACAGGCGCAGCAGCAAAAGGTGAGTGGCGATGTATTTTATTTCCTGTGATACTGGCACAGATAGAACGCAAGTCAGGCTTAATCTTATTCAACGATTAAACTTTTCTGGTTTTTTTTTATTGGTTTGGTACATGTGGGAAGGTTATAGATAAAACTACAAAAGAGAATTCTACTGTTATATTTGTTCATGTTTATCATTATTCATTGATTAATCATTTCCAAGTATATTGTATTTTATATTATTTAGTAACATTTTAAAAACTTGATAATTAAATGCAGTGTAGTGTAAGTGAGTGAGAATACGTTTCGTAGAAAAGTAATTTTTAAATATTTAATTTTATCTTTTTTATTATGATACATTATCAATATCGAGAAATTTCTTTACAAAATCGATTGCTTTGCTAATTTTTTTAATTTTCAACATATTACTAGTAATATTCGCTATATTACTTAAAATAGATTTTACGATATTCTTAATCTTGATTTTTAATCTGACTTCAAAGAAAGATGTATCGAAGAAATAGGAAAAATTGCAGCTTAAATCTTTAGAAAGCGGATCATATAGTTATATTTATATTAATTTACCATGTTATATATACAAGAAAACAATCTATCTATCAATAATTTAATCCAAAAGTTTGATACGCGTCGATACATAATATGTACATATATACGTACATATAAGTATATAGTGACACGGTTTCTTCGAAATTGGCCCGATATTGGTTCGTCTGAGATAGGTTTAAAGGCTTAGAGAAGTAGCGTTTCTCTTGGATGAGCCTGGTCAACGTGGATCTGAGGATCCACCGACGTAAGAGGATTACATTGATCTAGCTGATCGTCGAGCATGTTACGCGACCTCTAACTGCCCCTTCATTAATTTTTATACGTCATTCACGATTTTCAATTTGTCCAGATCGGTAGGAACGTTCGATAAATGGGAATTATATAGCTGTTCAAAGACAGATTAGGGATTACAATTGTTGCGAAAAATTCTTTAATAACGTCGTTCGAGAGACGTTCCTTCGGTGATCCATTGGATCAATTGGTAATTATTGGAAAGCTACGAAGTTAAAAGAGACTCGTATAAAATTGTTTCTGTTAATCCTATTGTTTGTTATTGAAACATTTAATTTTTAATTAATGGTTAAAAATATCGCGAAACATGTTTGGGATCATTATTTATTATATTATTTCGTATTTTTAAATGTTAACGAAGGGAAATTTGTAATAAATCTTAATTTACGAAATTTTCGAATATTAAAAAGTTGAGGTTATTTTGTTGTTCTCGAACAATTTTAATTCTTAAAATAATCCATAGATTTTCTAATAATCTATAATTTTGCTATCAATTTCTTCACTAGAGAATTTTCACGTTTAATGATTATCACAATGATCATCGTAGGCAAATATTTTAAGCCGAGTGTAAAACATTTTTGTTCGAAGAAACGAAATTTAAAATGCTTGAAACTTTAAAAGAGTAACCTTCTATGCTGTGTTATTGTAATGACAATGCAATACAAACGATTAGAATGTATAATTACTAAAGATATAGTAATAAGATGCCTTGCGTAAACAGAGTACTAATATTGGAGGCCATTACCAACGCAGTAGAAACTGGTCGTATCAGTCAGCCATCGTTTACACTGGCGCACAGCGACGGGCACTACTAACAGTGGAGTTGGTTAGCATATAATCAGCCAGCCGTGACAGTAGCAGGAGTTTGTAGAAACTCCAGTAGCAGTAGTTGCTGATCACACAATGAGGACAGTGGCAAATATCAGATACTAAACACAAGCATATACAATAATGTATGAATATTATCATTGATAATTTATTTACTCATTTGATTTTTTATTTTAAGACTTAGTAATGTAAGATTTAACATATTACTATTATAATTAAATCAATATTATAATATTATAATAATAAAAGTAAACTTTTATAAAACTTATTTTAAAGTTAACATTTCTAATTTCAAAAATTCTAATATTACTCGCGATTTGCAAAAAAAAAAAAAAACGTTTAATAAACGTTTCACCATTGCATTACATAAAAGTTCCATTTATCGAAATCAGATTAAATCGAGTTCGAGAGAATTCCAATTCGTACAAATACTATTAAATTTTCCACATCGTGCGCCGATATTTCCACAAAAATTCCGTGTAATCATTACAGATCTCTCAATTTTTAATCTCTTCATCGCGTTCGAACCGACGATTATCAATTTTCATAAAAAAAAAAAAAATTCTCGAATACGAATTGAAAAACTCCCCATCCTCTTTGGTTAATCCAACGACCGGAAATACCATCACTCTCCTCCTCTTTCGAGCGCCTTTCCGCGAAATCAAGCATCTCCTTCGTATCCTGTCTTTATTGGCTGCGACGGTCGGCAGTCGACCGGTGCAGCTGGGTTGGCCATTGTCGGCCGATAAAAGGGCGCGAGAGAAAACGAACTGCTTGCAAGAAGCTCAAAGAAAGAAAGAAGAAGCAAAGAGAGGAAACAAAGAAGGAGGAGGACGAAAGGAGGCGTCGTCCACCCTTGTTCATCTGGCTCGATCCCCTTCCCCCGTCCATCGTCTTCAGAGCTCGGTGGAAATTAGTTCTCGGCCGTGGAGCACGAAATTATTGCTGCTTTCAAAGTCGCTCGAGCTCGCCCCGCTTACATCTTCAGGCCTTCTCGCTCGCTCGCGGGATTCTGTTACAGAACGTGAACG